TATCCCTATTATGAGGATATTATTGCGTTTCAGGTTGTCCTGCATTTCCCTAAATGCCTCTTCATTCTTTTTGAGTCTTTTTTCATTTGCTTGCTCTTTCTGGGAGCTTTTTCCTACCTTGTCCTCCAGCTCGCTGATTTGGTACTCAGCTTCATATAGCCTGCTTTTGATTCCTTCTACTGTGTTCTTCAATTCAGAAATTGTATTCATTTCTTCTTGTCTTATTGAGAGTTTCCATCTCCTTTTTCATGTTGATATAGTTGCAGAAAGTTCCTCATAGTTTCCCTGTAGTTTTCTATAATTCTCTCTGAGCTCACTGAGCTTCCTTAGAACTGTTGTTTTGAACTCAGTATCTGATAGTTTACTTCCCTCTATTTCATTTAGTTCTCTTTCTGGGGATTCCTCCTTTCCCTTCAAGTGGGGCGTATTTCTTTGTCTTCCCATTATTTGTGAGACTCTTCTCTTTTGCTTCTCCTTCTTAAGTTGATCTGTCTTGATTTCCTGACTTTGTGGTGTGAACTTCTATGCTTGGAGACCTCTGTTTTTTCTTTGTGGATCCGCCTCTTATGATGTCAGATATCATCCCTGTCTGATCTTAGGCGGTCTGTTTGAGACTTCCAGGACTCTACTGTTTGTGGCTGTCTCCTTCAGCTGTTAATCTAGTGATTTTGCACTTTGTAGGCCGCCTTAGACAGCTCAGAGTGGGATGGAGACCCTCCTGGGGTTAGGGTTATTGGGTCCTCTCTCACTGCTGCCGTAGGGGGGAGGAGTCCACACTGGGATCCTGCTGGCTACTCTCTCCATTCCCTCCCCAAAACCTCCGTCCCCAGTCTCTCCTCAAGTGTCTCCAGACCTCTCTGCACCCCCTTTAGCCAGGGATCTAATGTCTGTGGCTGCCACTCTGCACTCAGCAGGCAGCTTAGACAGCACAGGGCAGGGTGGAATCCCACTTAGGGGCAGGGCTATTGGGTCCTCTGATGCTGGTATCGCTCAGGGGGAGTGGTCTCTGCCTGAACAAGATGGCTGCTGCCGTATGGGGGATGAGTCAGCACTGAGATCCCGCCGGCACTCTCTCAGTTTTCTCCCTCAAACCTCCACCTCCAGTCTCTTCTCTGGTGTCTCTAGACCACTCTGCTCCCATCTTTGCCAGATATCAGGGTAAGTGGCTGCAAATAAAAGTTTATGCGTTGACCCTTTAAATGATTCTTTGTGTCTCCAGCAGCCAGTCTCTGGCATAGAGCAACCCTACCGCTTTTCACAGCTGGCTGTTTTCTGTGTACTTTTTGGGCTCTGGTGCTGTGGGCTAGAGATCTCTATTTTTGGTTTAGACCCTGCTCTTCTCAGGGGGATCCAACTGGCCATTTCAATATCCTTCTGGTGCTGCTGCCTGTGGGTGTCCTGCCCGCCTTCTCCAGTCTGAAATGCACTCCTTACCAGTTAGATTGTGCTAAAGCTGATTCTTCTGTCTCCGAGGTTACAAGGCTCCTCTCTCGCTATTGTTCAGTTGTTTGTTCCAGGTGGTTTCTCCACAATTTAGTTGGCAAATTCCAGGTTGGTCCTGGGAGGATGTCAGCATGACTTCCACTCACTCCTCCACCATCTTGATTCTCCCTAGGTAGAGTAATCTTGGTTGTAGGTCTTTGCTTTCATCACTTTGAAAACTTTTTCCCAATCCCTTCTAGTCTGCAAAGTTTGAGAAATCAGCTGACAGTCTTATGGGAGCTCCCCTGTAGATAACTAATTGGTTTTCTCTTGCTGTTTTTAAGATTCTCTTTGCATTTAACCTTTGGTATTTTAATTAAGATGTGTCTTGGTGTGGGCCTTTTTGGGTTCATCTTGTTTGGAACTCTCTGCACTTCCTGAACTTTTATGTCTATTTACTTCACCAGGTCAGGAAAGTTTTGTCATTATTTTTCAAATAGGTTTTCAATTTCTTGTCTCTCTTCCTCTTCTGCCACCCCCAAGATGCAAATGTTGGCACACTTACAGCTGTCCCAGAGGCTCCTTACTCTACATTTTTTTATTTTTCTTTTTGCTGTTATGATTGGGTGATTGTTTGTTTGTTTGTTTGCTTCCTTATATTCCAAACTGCTGATTTGATCCTTGGCTTCATCTACCTACTGTTGATTGCCTGTAAATTATTTTTCATTTCAGTTAGTGTATCCTTCATTTCTGACAGGTCCTTTTTATGCTGTTGGAAGTTCTTGCTAAGATCATCTGTTCTTCCCCTAAGTTCACTGAATATCCTTATAACCAGTGTTTTTAACTCTAAATATAGTAGACTGTTTCCATTTTGGTAGTTCTTTTCTGGGAGTTCTTTTCTGTTCTTTCATTTGGGATATGTTTGTTTCTTCATGTTTCTGTGTATTAGGTAGAGCTGCTACATCTCCTGGGCTTGGCGAAGTGGCCTAATGCAATAGGTGTCTCACTCTAGGGTCCAATGGCACAGCTTCCCTGATCACCCAAGCTGGACTCTCTAGTTGCACAACCCCCACCATGTGAGCAGTGTACAACATCCTGTTGTAGCTGAGCCTTGATTGCTGTTGGCACCTCAATGGGAGGGATTTACCCCCAAGCCAATTCTCTGCAAGGACTGTCTGTGACCATCCTCCACCACAGAGGACCAGCTGTGCAGGAGCCTGTCTAACAGAGCAGGACCCACTTCAGTGGGGCTCTGGTGCCTGCTGAGTCTGCCCCTTGGCTGCTGCTGTGGAGGTGGTTGGGTGATGTTTCAGTGTGGTCTGTAGCTGGCTTTGCGGCCTCCTGGGATAGGTAGGCCAAGATCAGCTGCTGCCTGTGTTCTGCCCATGGCCACTTGGCTTGAGCTACAAAGTGATCTGCAGCTGCCAGCTATTTGTGCTGGGCTGGGAGGGTCCCAGTAGAGACCAAGATGTGAACCATGCCTGCTGCTCATGCCAAGCCTGGGGCCACTCAGTAAGAAGTATGGGGAAGCTGAAGCCAGAGGCTTCTTGAGAGATTTTAGGAAAGTTTAAAGCATGAGGCTAGACAGGCCATTCATATGGAAAAGCCACTGGGAATAACTTGAGTGGGCCTATAAGTTTGGTGGGATGGAGTCTCATGGAATTACCAGGGTGGGTGCACTGGAATCCTGGGTTAGGGGCCTGGTATGGGGCTGGGACCCTTCGCTCCTCGGGGGGATCTCCACAGCCAAGATCTCTCTCCTGATTTTTATCCAACACACGTGTGTGTGAGACGAGGCCATTCTATGTCTCTGCCCCTCCTATAAGTCTTGATGTGGCTTCTTCTTTAATTCCCTAGTTGTAGGACTTCTTTTCAGCTAGATTTCAGGTATTTCTGAATGATGGTTGTTTCACAGTTTAGTTGTAATTTTGTTATAGTTGTGGGAGGCTGCAAGTATGTACCATGTTTACTACACCACCGTCTTGACCAGAAGTCCTGGTTATGCAATTTGATGTGGAGGGTCCCCCGGATTAAAAATGGCCATTTTGCATGATGAGACTAGCAGGACCTAACTGCACTAACATCTGAAACATCGGGATTTCTCTACACAATCAAAAAGAGTAAACCAGTCTGTAAGAGAGTAGTGGGGTTTCTCCCCAACTCCCTGCCTGGTTTGTTTTGCACACACAGGACTTGGACCAGAAGAATCTGGTTGAACCCCAGCCCTGCTACTTCCTGACTACGATTTAGGATATGTCATTTCAGCAAGTTGAGCTGTTTTCCTTATTTGTGAAGACTGATTGAGATCACATATGTCAACAAGTTTTGTGAGCTGTCCACACACACAAATATAAATTTAAAAAAATATAAATATTTATAAATGTAACTTAAGAATCTCCTAAATGTGTGAGCTGGTTATGATGCATGCCTCTTGAAGGTCAGACCCTGGCTTTGAGAGAGCACTGATGCACAGGCCTGAACTAAGTCAAACAGCTGAATGCAGGGACAGGCAATTACAGAGAAATAGTCCTAATCCCACAACTCTGCTATAATGTAAGCCACTGGGGTCAAGTGTTCTGTTACTGGCTGCTGAACAGATAAACTAATACAACAAAACAGTAAAAATATCACCTATTTTATGTTTTGTACAATCAATGAAGTCTGAACAAACCCCCTACTCATAGGTTGCTCTTTAACATTCTAATGAACTTATATACTACTTGAAATACCAAAAATGTCCTCAAATAAGACTATATAACATTAAGACCAAAATAGATTCATACTCAATAGACATGAGTAGCTATTAGAATTTATGTTCAAAAAACAGTAATATAGCCCTGGATGGGTAGCTCAGTTGGTTAGCTGTCCCTCCTATGCCAAGGTTGTGGGTTCGATCTCCCATCATGGCATATACAAGAAGCAACCAATAAATGTACAACTAGAGGGAACATTATATATGAGAAAATAAATGGCACCAGGGTAGTGACCACATCCCACTATATTAGCAATGTGTTGGCACATAGAATACTAACAATAAATACTTGTTAAATGAATTTAAAAAGCAATCAACCTACAAAGAAAAAAATCATTTAGTGGCATATAGTCAGAGAAAGCATAGTTTGAAAGAAATTTCTATCTAAAATCTCTAAAAATAAAAATAAAAAAATATCTAAAAACCAAAGTATTCAAAGTATTATATTTAATCAAAATGTTCACGATGAACTGTATACTTAAGAATGGATAAAATGGAAAATTTTATGCTATATATATTTCACAATAAAATCTGCAAAATAAAAAAAATAAATTAGAATTACAAAAATAGCTGACAATTAAAATTAAAAATCAAACAGAGGGAATCATGAAATAAAATAAGCAGCCCTTCACAGTTACAGTTCTTCTGCTAAGCCCCTTTCTCCTCTGGCCACTGGCAGACCTTGCTCCAGGTCTTCCAGTGTTCCAGGCTCTCTACGATTTCAGGGCCCCTCCACATGTTCCGCCCTCCCTCATTGTACAGTGCAGGGCCCAACTAGTAGCTCAATACAGTGGAGACTTGATGGAGAGACTCCTTTTAAAAAAAAAAAAATATGGTATAACTCATGAATATGCAGGTCATCCTTGTGCAGGGGCCATGCTAATCCTCTAGGTAGTTTCAACTTTTGTGCATATGCTACTGAAGAGAGCACTAGATCTCTTTATTTGAAGGTGGACTTAGGATTTTATTCTTCATGCCTAGCACTGTGCCTGACACAAATTTTTGTTGAATAACCCAAGGAATGAACTTAGAAGACAATAGGGAAAACTATCATATCTTAATTGGTAAATATAAAAGAACAACAACAACAACTTATTAGTGTCTTAATGGCAAACAACACAGCTGGTTTTACAGAGACTCAGCGCTCCTACATATAATGACATCTTTAGTATTAGATCAGAAGTATGTTTTTCCTCTTTTGTATTGACCATAAAAATTCTAGAACGTTTCTTTATAGAAATAAAATAGTAACCAGTTTCATATGGCAAAGGTGGCAGGGGGGAGATTTCAACAAATAGAAAACCGGGTCTCCCGATATTTACAATTACAGACATACAATGACTGGTGACAGCTTACTGGTGACAGGAACAGACCTACTGATCTCAGAAACTAAAACCCAGAAATAAATATGAAAGGATTAACCTTTTAGAATTTCACTGTGGAAAATTTTGAACAGAAACAAAAGTAGAGAAGTATCATTTCTCCAAAGAGATATGTATTGCAAGTAATGTTCCTTTTATTAGCCATTAGGGAAATGCAGATTGAAATCACAATCAAATAGCTTTTCATACCCATAAGAATGCCTAAAATAAAAAACAGTGACACCACCAAATGTTGCAAGGATGCAGAAAAACTGGATCACTTATACACTGGCAGGTGGTGGTTCAAAATTGTACTGACACTCTGGACAACAGTTTGAAAGTTTCTTACATGCAACCATAAAATCCAGTAATTGTTCTATTGGGCATTTTTTTCCCAGAAAAATGAAGACTTACATTCGTGAAAAAAGCTGTAATCTTTTATATCAGCTTTATTCATAATAGCTAATAATTGAACACAACCTAGAAGTCTTTCAGCATATGAATGGTTAAACAAATTGTGGTACAGCCATACCAAAGACTACCTACTCAGCAATAAAAAAAGGAACAAACTATTGGTTCATGCAAAAAACCTGGGTTAATTTTCAGAGAATTACGCTAAGTGAAAAAAGTCAATCTCAAGAGTTTATATACTATATGATTCCATTTACATAAAATTCTTGAAATGACAAAATTATAGAAATGAAGAACATATTAGTGGTTACCAGAAATTAATGAGGGGATGGGAGGGGAAAAGGTGTGGTTATACAAGGGCAACATGAGGGATCCTTGAAACTTAACTGTATCAATGCCAATATCCTGGTTGTGATATTGTACTATAATTCTGCAAGATGTTAAATGGGGAAAAATGGGTAAAGGATACACAGAACCTCTTTATTATTTCTTATAACTGTATGTGTTAATATATGATTATTTCAAAATAAAAGCCTTAATTTAAAAAAATCTCAGAAAAAAAATATAAAAATAAAGCAACATTATAATCCTATGCCTGCTAGGAAAAAAGACATTATACACATAAAAATACTTCTCCTATTAATATTATAAAAACAATAACCAAAGATGAAAACAAAGAAGCTATTCCCAGCTGGTGTGGCTTGGTGCATTGAGTGCCAGCCTGCAAACCAAAGGGTTGATGATGTGATTCCCAGCCAGGGCACATGCCTGGGTTGCGGGCCAGGTCCCCAATAGCCGGCACATGACAGGCAACCACACACTGATGTTTCTCTCCCCCTCTTTCTCCCTCCTTTCCCCTCTCTCTAAAAATAAATAAACAAAATCTTTTTTAAAAATAAATGAACAAGAAAAAGAAGCTAAATAGAGACTTCCCTTCATAACTGACTGACACAAAGATAAATAGAAATATTTTGAAAAGAATCTGCTAGCAATAATGAAAGACAGCAACCAAAACCCAAAGCTCTCTACCTATAACAGGCTCTTTTGGGAATTACAGTTAAATTTTAAAAAATCAGATAAGAAAATTAAAATGAATAATGAAAGTGGCATCAACGGCAAAGATGCAGCTCCTTGGTGTCAAGGGGCCAGAGACTCCTAACTAGACTCACAAACTAGACTGACTGGATTTTAAGAGCCAACTTATATATGGCAATTACAAACAGAATGAATAAAATTATAAGATAATAATAGAATCTTACAGTGACATTTCACAATAATGACAGGTGAAAGCTTGGAGAAGTGGTATCAAAAACATCTGAGCCTCAAAAGTGAGTATGTTTAGAGAGAGTAAGGTACTTTTTCCTTAAAACAAAGAAAAACAGTTAAACAATAAATGATATAAAAGGAAATATCCAACACATAATAAATAAAGAAGATAAAAATTAACAGTGTATAAACATTCTGTAATATGGGGAACCCAAGCCAATGGCCATAAAAGGGAATTACTGACCATGCACATTTGGAACACTTTCAAAATTTAAAGTCAGGTTTACCTATAACTTATATGCTACAAATTGAAAAAAATAACTTGAAGCAATTTACACAAAAGCTCAAAAATTGAAGCTATAAATGCAGGCCCAAGTTTCTCAACAATGCTAATATTGATGGTTTGGGCTGGGTAACTCTTTGTTGTAGGTGGCCATTTCATGTGTTCTAGGATGTTTAGAAGCATCCTTAGCTTCTACTCATGAGATGCCAATGGCAACATCTCCCTTACCTCAGTCTTGACAATCAAAAATGTCTCCAAACACTGCCAAACATCATCTGAAGAACAAAACTGCATTGGTCTAGGCTGGAACAGCTATTGCAACTGGGATTAAATTTATCATCTCAACAGCTATAACACAAAGGTTAATTATGTTTTGGGCTGTAGGACACTCACTGCTAGTATCATACTGTTTCACTGGGAAAGATAATTTTTTTCCAGCACTAAGTGTCTTACCACTATCTTTACTGACTGTACTAGTAGCTGCATAGAAGTTACAGAACTATTCTTAATTACAGCTATTTCTTATCCATTAAAAAAAAAGCAAAGGAATACTATGAAAATGTAGCTCAGTAAAGGGATTTCTGTGCAGCAAAGCTAAGTAAGGCAGGGCCGGCGGGGGTGGGGGTGGTGTGAAAATGCAGCTTCCTGATGATCTAGCTTGCTACAAGAATAGGACTTTAAAATTCTAGAGGAATGACTGTCTTGTGTCACTCTTAATTAAATGCCAATTGTGTATTCTTACATTGTATTTACAACTGAGCAAAATAAGTATTTGTATGAATAACAACTAAATTGAATATGAAACAAATGTGAACAATCAATTTGTTAGAGGGGGTGGATGTTTCTCACCCTTTAAAAAAATTTCAATGCTGTATTTTGTGCAAGGGAAAATATTTCATTTGGAAAAGACAATTATGCACTATAAAATTTGTATTTGTAAAAGTTTTGAAGGAAAACAAAACTACTGAATAAACACTACTATGGACAATTAATAATACAGATATATATTTATTTAGAATATTATTGCTCAACCAGCCTTAAAAAATGAATTTTAACCTTTCATATGCTAGATGACAGTTAAATGCTGAATGCCAAATAAAGGGAAAAGTCTGTTCCTATTTGTTTATTTAAGGGCTCGGAGTTGTAGACCTGCGTACTAAATACTGTAAATGTATGTATGTATATATATGTGTGTGTGTATAAACATATATACATACTGTTAGACTGAAAAAAGCAAACTGCAGAACTGCAGGTGGATAAGAGGGCTGAAACCAAGACAGGGGAACTGGTGAACATTTACTTTTTATTTTGTATATTTGTTTGTTTTAGGTGGCTATTTTATGTATTCTCGGGTGTTTAGCAGCATCCCTGGCTTTTCCCCACTAGATGCTGATAACAACATTCCTCCTTCCCCAATTCTGACAACCAAAAATGTCTCCGAATCTGCCAAATGCCCCCTAAGAGCAAAACTGCTGCTGATTGGGAATCACTGACCTAAGCTAGAAGAGCTACTACAACCAGAATGAAAATTACAGTAAGCCTACATAACTTTTGAGTTAAAAATACTAAAAAATTATAAAAATTTTCATTCAACAAATTAGTTTAATTTTCACCACAGTGATGTTTCACCTCAAATATCCATACTTTGTAAATTCACTGTCAAGTATTCCAGTCAAAGCACAAAATGAAACACAGAAACGAAGCCAAAGGAGGAAACCACAATAAGGTGCCCAGGGAGAGGGACTGCCCTAGCCTGGCCTCCCCTGACTGCCTCTTGTCCCCCTAGACTCTTTGTCACCCTCGCTCAAGTCTCCTATTAGAGCTCCTATTCTATCCCTGCTGCCAGGACCCCACCATGGCTGAGCATCCGGGCCTGCCCTTCCTTTTTTTAAATTGTGGCAACACATGTGTAACATAAAATTTAATGTTTTAACCAGTTTTAAATGTACTATTCAGTGGCATTAAGTACATTCACATTGTTGTGCATCCACCATCACTATCTATCTCCAGAACTTTTCTCAAATTTCCCAAACTGAAATTCTGTACAATTAACTCTTGATTTCTTATTTCCCTCTCCTCCCAACTCCTGATATCACCATTCTACTTTCTGCCTTTATGAATTTGACTATTTTAGGTACCTCATAGGAGTTGGAATCATACAGTATTTGTCCTTTTGTGACAGTTGTATTTCGCTTAGTATAATCCCTTCAAGATTCATCCATTTGTAACATGCATCAGATTTTCCTTCCTTTTTAGGTGAACTAATAATATTCCATTGTGTATACATACCACATTTTGTTTATCCATCCATCCTTCAGTGGACACTTGAGTTGCCTTTACCTTTTGTCCATTGTGAATATGCTGCTAGGGAATATCTGTTTCAATCCGTGCTTGCAATTCTTCTCAGTATATACCCAGAAGTGGAATTGTTAGGTTATAGGGTAATTTTATTTCCTGTCCCACCTTTGAATCTTTCTCTTAACTTTATCCCCTTGATCAAAACATACTCATCACCTCTTTTCTGTGAGATGCTGCTGTCAGAAAGCTATCATGTGGAAAGCATCTAATCATGATAATGTATTAATAGCTGACAAGACTTAATATATTACC